ATATTTGCCAATTATCTAATTAATGTGCTTTGCAGAGAAAGAAACAACCTCTCGTATCGCACACAGTGCACGGAGTTGTCCCGTCCGCCAGGCCCCTCTGGTCTGGAACCGGTCCCGGTCTTTCGTAGTTTTCCACGACCTTGACATTTTTGAAATGCACAGGCTATTTATTTTTCAGAATGTGTCTCAATTTGAGGCAGTCTGCCATTTCTTCATGGTCACATTCAGAAGATCTATTTTTAGCAGGAACACCACAAAAAAGATGTGTCCTTCACGTACAGGAATTTGAGAGTTTTTTCCAAGTTGGTTCATCGATTGCACAAATACTCAAGTGCATACTACGCCAGGCACTGGATGTGATGAGGATGAAGGCGGGCTTATCCCACGCACTAAAGAAACATACAAGCCCAGAGTGCTTTTCTGTATTTGTTTCAGTGCCTAGAAAGGTGCTTATTGTTGCTTTCATTTTAATCTTATTTATATCTTTTTTAATAGGGAGTAAATTCAACCGACTCAAAATTCAAAAAGGACAAAAAGGTATGTACAGTAGACAATCTCCCTACCTGGAATCCCCTAGCGACTCTTCAGAAGCATCTTATAGGATCAATTTCCTGTCTATTCTTCCAAAGATATTTTATGCATATACAACCCAAAACATATACAACAGGGTGTCCCAAAAAATGCATACACACTTTAACAGCTGATAGCTGAAATCTGAAAATGAAATGTATTTTAATAAACAATGCCTTTATAATTATTTAAAGTGTATGTATACATTTTTGGGGATACCCTTTATACTCTTTGTCTCTCCAACCACATACAGCAAATAATATTGATTCTATACAAAGTGGCATCTCTTCTACACCTTGTTTATTCCACATAATACCATACTTTTTACATTGTCCTCATCCATACAGCATTTCCTCATTCTTTTTTTTTAATGTTTTTATTGATTTCAGAGACAGGAAGGGAGAGGGAGAGAGGGATAGAAACATCAATGATGAGAGAGAATCATTGATCGGCCGCCTCCTGCACGCCCCCTACTGGGGATTGAGCTTGCAACCGGGGCATGTACGCTGACCAGGAATGGAACTGTGACCTCCTGGTTCATGGTTGAACCAGTATGGCTCAACCACGGAGCCACACCAGCTGGATCCTCATTCTTTATTATAGCTGCATCATTTCATTGTAAGAATATATCATAATTTATTTAATCAACCTCATGTTGATAAACATTTAGGTTATTTCTAATCTTTTGCTCTTACAAGCAACGCTGTGATGAATAACCTTGGACATATATTGTTTTACACGTTAGTATCTTGAATTCTTTTGGTCTCTGAGGGAAGACACTGAATCAGTTAAGTGGCTGTATGGCTGTTAAATCATTATTAGTTTCTGAATGAATTCCAACACTGGAGCTCATCTTCCCCTCCTCCCCGCCCCCAAGCACGAGGGCCCTGAGGATACACAGGGCAGGGGCTCAGTGGAGAGGCAGCAGTTAGTTCAAGAGGAATCGTGGTTAAGAGCCTGGACTCTGACCTGGATTTGGGTAGCAATTCTCAGACTTAACCAACCTTGGGCAAAACACAGAAGTTCCCTAAATTCCTCTTCCTTTCCTGTAAAATGGGGACCATAGGTTATTGAGAGAATGACATGAAATAATACATGTAAAATGCTTAGCACAGTGCCCGCTATAAAATAAATACTCACAAATTAGTTTTTAAAAAGATATTCAATCATATTGCATTTTTCTGACTAATGGTCTGCCTCCCCATCTCAACTCTAAGTTCTTTCAGGGCAAGGAATGTGTTTGCTCACGA